TTCCCGGCTGCTCAGTGCCTCGGGACATCCTCCAGACGCCAAAGGCGCTTTACATACCTAATTTTGCGCGGCCGTGTGCGCGTTCACAAAATTTGGACAGAAAATAAACGCAACGCATCGAGGTTTGACTTTCCACCGGTTAGCTTTATAAAAGTTGGGTTTGGTCTCTGCCTGCGGTTCTCTTTGTTCCCACTTCTCTTTGTGGGGTTTTTTTTTCTCTCTGGTGCGAAAATAAATGGAGAGAAGTTGGGGGGGGGGGGGGGGGGGAAGGCCAAAGAAATTCCTTTCTAGGACCTTGATCCTGCCAGCCCTGAAACAACAGTGCTGTAAGGCAGCCTGCATTAAAGGACACCTGGAAGGAAATGTACTCAGAAATATTTTGTTACCGCACGTAAGTGTGTTGAGGGCATATACAATGTGGAATAGTTTAAGGGAAAAAAATACCTTGGTTCACATTTTCTTTTCCCTACCAATTTTTTTTCCTCCCTCTCCCCCTCCCTCCCCTTCTCCTGCCTGTTTAATTCCTATTTTCTTTCTGTCGGGGGTATCTATCGTCCCCCTGACACTAATCATAATAATTACTACCAATAATAATCCTTGCATTTGATACAGCGCCTTATCGGGTCATTGAGACGTCTCAAAGCGCTTCAGAGGATATACTGTACAGTGAATTGACTGCATATTTTGTGGGCGAAACGCGGCAGCCAATTGCGCACGGCAGCGTCCCCCACAAACAGTCGTGGATTGAGTGACCAATTTTTGTTTTGTGTGTGGGATTATTCACCCAGGTTAGCAATCCGCCGAGCGACTAACGACCAGGTTCCTACTTACCACCAGGTAAACAGAGGCGTGTGGAGCAAGGAAACTGGCCTGAGGTTCCGCCTTGGCTGGGAATCGAACCCGGGTCCTCTCGCTTGCGAGGCGAGTGTTCTCACCACTGAGCTACAAGACTCCACTCCAGAACAAGTCTCCAGAGGGCACTAGTTATTTCCCATGGACCACTTTTGTTATTATTAATATTATTATTATTGCTGTTGTAAAACCATTCCTACCTGTTGCAGGTTCTATAGGTTAACACAAGCGGTAGCTGTTCCTTGGAACTCAACCTCATGTGATGGAAAGCATCTGTCAAATCCAATTTGCAACAAGCAGGCGGGCGACTGCATCATCCGTTTAAATCGATTTCCTGGCATTTCTTAAGTTAATATTGTTCCAGGCCACAACACTGGCTCTTCTCCAAACAGAGTTCACGTTGGGCAACTAACCTCAAAAAATCCTCCACCCAAAAACATTTAACAGCGACAGACAAGAACCAGGCCGTCACAGTTGCACTTTCCAAACGTCAATCTGCATTGGATTTACTAAGAGTTTTGTTCCGCGAGAGGGTCTGTATTCGACACAGAATGAAACGAGCTGTTGGATTAAAGCGTAAATAAAGCCACACCAGGGTTTTCCCCAATATAAACCGAACAATGTTTGTATTGTTTCCCAGGCAGTTTCCTTACTCCACCTGCCTCTGTTTACCTAACATTAAGTAGGAACCCAGTTGTTAGTCGATTGGTGGATTGCTTTCCCAGGATAATAATCCCTCGAAAAATTTTTTTTAAAAAAAAACGTAGTCACTCGATCCACGATTGTTTGTGGGACCTGCTGTGCGCAATTGGCTGCTGGGTTTCGCCCACAAGATGCATTTTACAGTATAACCTGTGAAGCGCTTTGAGGCGTCTCAACAGCATGATAAGGCGCAATATCAAATGCGAGGATTATTATTATTGTTAATATTATTATTATTATGTGCACACCAGTTCACTACGGTGGGGCTTGCGAGAACCTGACCAGCAGTAAATGTTACTAGACGCTTGTATATTTTGTCCTCCAAGCAATAGAGTGCAGGTCAGAAGATTATTTAACAAGGTGGAAAGTCTCCTTGTTTTACGACGAGAAGCCTCCCCTTTAGGTGCAGATTGGGGCAGAGTGCTGGGAGTGAGAGAGGGATGGAAGCCCTTACTTAACCACTTGAACGTGGAGAATTTATTAAGCGTCCCAAGCTGTTGACAGAGTGATGCATTTACCCTTAGGCCCTTGGGGACTCTGACTTCTTTCTCTCTCCCCCCCCACCCCCCCATTCTAATGCTCCATCTACATGCTCCATAAGACGACTCATTGTGTGGACGCACGATAGGAAAAGGCACAGCAGTTGTCCCATTATGGGTTTTAATCGTATACTGTATCTGTCGAACGACCATAGCTTTGAGCAAACTTAATCTCTTTATCGTGCTTAGCAAAACGTCCTCTATAGAGAGAGAGAAAGAGAGAGAGCGAGAGAGAAAGGGGGAGAGAGAGACTCAGTTCGGAGATGTTATTGGATCCAATGGCTATGTACAACAGGAGTTGCAAAAACCTTTGGGTTTTAAGGGATTACGATCTGCGATTGGATCCACACCCAATTGAACAAAAGCCGTGTCGCTGGATACAGTCAGATATCAAATCAATTGGAGCTACTCTACATCCCCACATCCAGCCCTCCATTAGCAAGAGAGACGCAGCTGGCCCCAGCACCCACCCACCCACAACCACCCCCCCCACCCCACCCTCCACCCCCACCCCCCATTTCCTAGGCGGTCAGTGTTTTTGTTGCTAAGCGACTGTGGGTTAGAGATTCCAGGGTGACAGAGCAAGAATCAAACCAGCGTGAAACTTCCATCTGCCCATTACACGGACTCTCCCAAGCAGCAAGGATTACACCAGAGAACTCAGTGTCACTTCCAATCAATGCATTGCTGTACGCTGGCCTGAACCTTTATTATGTTGTAGGAAACATAAGAATTTGCCAGGCGAAAGAAGACCAAGTTAGCCTTCCACCGTCCTGGCAGGTCGCTCGACATGCCGTGTCCCAGACTACAACAGCAATAATAATATTAATAATCCTTGCATTTGATACAGCGCCTTATCACGTCATCGAGACGTTCTCAAAGCGCTTCGCACAATACGCTATATTACTGTGTCCCCCAGATACTAATTCCGAGCAGAAATCTATCTCGTTTGCGCTTGAAAGAATCGACTTTTTCTGCTTCCATCGTCCGTCTCGCGAGGAAGCCTGTCCCACACGTTTACAACAGCAACAACAACAACAACAACTTGGATTATATAGCGCCCTCCACGCCGGACGGAGTCTCAGAGCGCTTCACAGTTTACTCCTCGCTCACTTGCAGTAGAGTTTCCACGGATGGATAGTACGCTTTTATGGATAGTAAGCGTATATAATAATAAATAAATAACTAAATAACTAAATCACTAAATAACTAAATAAATAACTAAATAAATAAATAAATAAATAACTAAATAACTAAATAACTAAATAACTAAATAACTAAATAACTAAATAACTAAATAACTAAATAACTAAATAACTAAATAAATACTAATCCTTGCAATTGACAAAGCATCTTATCACGCCTCAAAGCCCTTCACAGAACATACTGTAACGCTGCCAGGACACCGGGATACAAAAGCTCCCTAACCCTTTTCGAATAGCGCCGTGGGACCCTTTAACATCCTCCTGAACAGGCAGAGACGAGACCTCGGGTTAACATCCGAAAGGTACGGCACCTCCAACTTGCCGTGCGCAAATTGGCTGCCGTGTTCGCCTACAAAACACACGCGGCGAAACTGGCGTGGAAGCGCTTTGAGACGTCTCGACGACGCGATGAGGCGCTACGTGAAATGCAAGGATTGTAATTCCATCCAATCTCAAACAACAACAACAACGACTTGCGTTTACATAGCGCCCCCCCCCTCACCCAGGGTAGGGTCCCAGAGCGCTTGTCTGGCTCTGGGACCCTATCCTTGTGCGAGGGGTAAAAGCCGGACTGAGTCAGCGAAAGGGGTTAATGCCGCTCGGGTTAAAAAGCGGAAACCAAGTGTGGAGGTGATGCGTTTATAAACACAGGCTCCAGGTCCTTTACCTCGTGAAGATTTATGAAGTGGAAAGTGACAAGACAAGCAGATGTCTGTCCGACAGCAGGAAGCCAACAGGAAAACACTCACCTTCCCAACAACTGGTTTATGTCAGATGTTGAGGGTTGGAGTGGGGGCGGGGGGTGGGGTGGGGTTGTGGGGGGGGGAAGGGGTGGTCTGGGAGAAGCAACATTGAAGGATTTGAGCTATAATCATCATCAATCCCTCTGCCTCGTCGCCCCCTCCTTCACCATCTTCGGGCCATAGGAACGGGAGTACGGCCATTCAGCCCCTCGAGCCTGTTCCGCCCTTTTATAAGGTCATGGCTGATCTCAACCCCAATTAATAATGAGAAGAAAAATAGTCCTCGCATTTGACGCAGCGCCTCATCACGTCTTCGCGACGTCTCAAAGCGCTTCACAGGATATACCGTAAAGTGCAGTGACTGTGTGTATATATCCCTCGATAGCCGGACCTGACGAACATCTGTGCCAATAAATGCAAGTTGTTGTTGTTGTATTAAAAATGAGCACGACATGAACATTACGGGAAAGGCAGAGCTTCCTTCCTTCCAGCATTAATGCCGGAAATAGGTTGGCGGTTCCGGTCATCTTCTCCTTGACCATTTCCGAGCTCCGGTAGGTCGCTGGGCGGGTGCGGGCTGATTAAGAATATGCGGGCTTCAAAGAGTTAACAGCCCCTCCAGCGAAACACCACTGACTGTTCTCTCTCAATGTGCTCTCTCTCTCTCTCTCTCTCGTTCCTCCCACAGTGATATACAGTACAGAACTCCGCTGGTATTGGCCACTGGGCTGAAAAGGCAGTCAGTGTGTTGAGCGTATATATATACTCGCTTTCTCCCTTTCCTGTGTAGACGGCCGGCAATCAACTAACTCGCTGCTGAACACGTCAGTTAAAAACGACCAAGAAAGGAGAGAGGCTTGTTAGCCTGAAAACAGAAGAAGGGGGTGGGGAAAAGCAAAAAAAAAAAGCACTTCTCACTCCCCCCCCCCCCCACCACCCACCCCCACCCTCACGCCTGCACCCGTCCCATCTGAGAACTTGTCACAAATCAGATTGGGTGGAAAATTAAAATCTAAACAAAGAGAGCGAGCGAGAGAGCGAGAGTGAGAGAGACAGAAGGAAAGTGCGGTGCCTTTTATACTCTTGTCAAGAGCACCAGAGGTCCATTTGTTCTGCGTCTCAGGGTAAGTCTGCCACTATTATTTTGTTAATGAACTTTGTTAAGTCTTATATCTTGAGTCGGAGAGAACGCTTGCACTTGCGCCCTCTCGCCCCCACTCTTCCCCCACCCTCCATGCCCCCCCACCTTCCTCCCCCCCCCCATCGCCCCCACTTCCATCGAGACCGCAGTTTTGGGAGGTTTTGTTGTTTTCCCTTTCTGACAGCTTTTTTTATTTTAGTTGCATTTTATATATATATCTAAAAAGAAGACTGATAGAAATTTCCCGTCGCTCTTTCTCTTAAGTCTCCGAGCGCAGATAGGATAGACTCGGTCGCCCGTTGAACGGCTGAGATTTAAACCGTCTCCGATCCGGGCACATGTCGGCAACGGTTATTCTTGGCAACGGTTACAAGGACCGGTCGTCCGACCGGATCTGTGATCCAAGGAAAGATCAACAGCTTCTTTTGGGGTGTTGGAAACGATCGCAGAATGGATTGTGTTTAGATACAGTCGTTGGCGAGAGTGAGAGACCACCCCACACGCAAACACACACACACGCACACACACACACACACGCACAGAGCGAGTTTACTTGGAACAATAAAGCGTTCCAGTGGTGAAGGCGCACAGTAAAGACTGCGCTGTTCTCACAAAGGGGGGGAGGGAGACAAGACATGATGAAGTGCAGAAGGTTTTCTCTCTCCCCTCTCTCCCCCCCCCACCCGGCATCTCCCACCACCCTGAGTCTGTTCACAACCACTTATAAATGAGGTTTTCCTTCCTACAAGCAAAAGATTTCAGCTCTTCCTCTTCTCTCCTCTCCCAAATTATTCCAGTCTGCACCCACTTACCTCCCAGGGTTTGGCACAGAGGAACTTGGCAGATGGCTGGGAGCAATCTGACTGCTCACTTTTTCAGCTGGGGGGGACAGGGAATGGTACAGGGAGGGTTAAAGAGATAGAGAGAGAGAAAGGGAGAGGGAAAGAGGGAGAGAAAGAGGGACAGAGAAAGAGAGAGAGAGAGCAAGAAAGAAAAGAAAGAGGAGACAGAGATTTATCTTAGGAAATAATATCTCGGGGATACGGTATCTAGTTTGCGTCACGACATGTCAAGTGACTGCCAGGATGGTGGAAGTCGAACTGGATGGACCTTGGTCCTCTTTCACTTCGCAAACTCTTACCTTCTTAGAGAGAGAATGGGAAGGAGAGACAAGTGAGAGAGAAAGAGAGAGAGAGAGAGAGAGAGGGGGGGGGGAAGGTGAAAGAGAGAAAGAAAAGAGCAAAAAAAAATGAGAGAGAGCGAAAAAAAGAGGGAGGAAATACAAAACAAAAAAATAAAATTGACCAGAAAAAAAAACCTCCACAAGTGCTGAGTACAACCATGTGAGGAGCCAAACTGCGACTTGGCAACGGCCGAACTCAGTAAATCAGAGCAATCAGAGCGCAGAGGAACCTTCCTGCGTTATCGGCTCTGAGGCCACTTTTGCAGAAAAAAAACAAGTTAATGAAGACTGGACTGAACCCTTCAGCGACACAGAGCAAGCAAGCGGTCAGACATTAAGCTCAAACTCGGTTTAAATCGGACGAGCTGAAGCGGCGTCAATTCTTGTCCAGATTGACAGCATCGATATCGCTTTCCGCCACTTCCCCCCCCCCGACCCCAAAACTCTCTCCCTCAATCTCTCCTCCTTGCCCCCTCCTTCCCCATCTTCGGGTCTTTCCCAAAGACCTTCCTCTTCGACCGTGTTGCAGGGTTACAGGTGGCGCAGTTCACTGTCTAAATACTCCTTTTCCGGATTTGGGCACGATTGCGGAAGAGGTTTTTCATGCTTATTTAAGGGATGATTTGAATCGTTGCATATTGTTCCCGCTTATAAGTTGTCAACGACAACAGTACCAACTTGACGTATGCAGCGGACTTCAAGCTCCGAGTGCTGAGATGAAACATTAACAAAGCTCACGGTCTCCAGAGAAAAATCACTGTAATAATTAACAAAATGTCGCGGTTTTGAGAATCCGGATAAAAGGAATCCAGCAAAGTGTTGATAGGAAACATCTACCCTCTTAAGTTTGCTGTACGGAGCAGGTAAAGCACAGACTGGGTCTTACTGGCTGGAGGCAATTGGTGCCATTGACAGAGGTTGTGGATTGCTGACGTGAGGGTTATTGTGTCAAAGATGAATTATTTTGGGATCAGGAGTAACAAAGACGCCTTTGAATGCGTCAGCTTGACTTCAACTGGTTTCAACAAGCATCAGCCTGGCTCACTCTCACCTCTGGGTCAGAAGGTCGGGGGCTCGAGCCCCACGTCGCGATTTTGAACTCACAGTCCGGGCTGATGTTCCAATTGCAGTGCTGGGGGCTGTCAGAGGTGCCGTCCTTCGGGTGACTCGTAACACCGAGCTCCCGTCTGCATGGTTAAAGATTGAGTGGCGTTAGTTGAAGAAGAGGAGGGGGTTTCTCTCCCAGTGTCCTGTCGGAAAAGCCCCCAGCTATATTTCTGGGTCAGCTGGGGGGGTGGGGAGGTGGGTGTCGGACATATGCGGAAACACATCACCGTGCTTCAGAGCGTCCAAACCAAACTGAGAGTTTATACTCCCAGCTAAAATTGGTCAGTCACACTTCATAGCCGCGGGGTATTGTTCTGGGCAACATTGACTGCAGTTTTCACCAGGAAAATACATGTTTCCACAGTAAATCCTGTGAAGCGCTTTGGGATGTCCTCCTGCTGTGAAAGGCTCTGCATCAAATACAAGGATTATTATTATTATTGTTGTGGGCTCAAGTCTCCCATTGGGACTTTCTATTCTAGTGCCAGGGGATGTGGGGAGCAATGTTGTCAGAGGATGTCACGTTAAACCCATCTGTCTGGTCAGGCGAATGTTAAAGATCTGGAAGAGAAGTGGGGGGTGGGAGGGGGGGGGGGTCTCCCAGTGTCCAACAATCTTGCAAATAGAGTGGTCACTCACCTCATAAATATAAACATCCTTGCCCTTGATACTGCGCCTATAACGTCGCGACATCTCAAAGCATTTCACAGCGACGGTCGGTGTATTTGGAGGCGAATGCGGGGTTCCAATTTGCGCACAGTTGGGGTTCCACAAACAGCCAAACTGAGCAGTCAATTTATCTGGAGGATTGTTGGCCAGGGCCCTGGGGGGGTGGGGAGTGCGGAGTGGGCGGGGGGGGGGGGGGGGGGGGGTGAAAAACAACTCTCTTCTAGCATCATGAACAGGCAGGCAGATGGGACCTTGATTTAACAGCTCATGCAAATGACAGCACCTCCAACAATGCAACGCTAACCCCTATTCCTGCCCTGGAGTGTCAGCCTGGATTATCAGATCAAGACCTGACGTGGGGCTTGAACACACAATCTTCTCTTTGTGGGACAACACTGAGGGCAAAGTGCCTGTCACATTTGCTTCCAAAGGCACAGCCACTTAAGAGTTGACAGCAAGGAGCTGTGCGACTTTGATGCCGTGGGTTCTATATCAAATACGAAGATGATGATTATTATTATCATCGTTATTTATTCATTGCTGCAGATTAACAGAATCGTTCCTCAGTCCGTCCATCTGCCATACGTACGGCAACGCCTTGTAGGCACATGAGCCGAATTAGTTAGCCGTGGATTCAGTTCAAAGCAATTGAGTGGAAATTCATTCCCTCTGCACCTCTCTCTTTCTCTCTGTCTCTCTCTTTCTTCATCGCTTGGCAAAGCACGAACCCCTGGCTCTTGTGAACGTTCTCGCAGTTTGTAATTGTTGGCTACAAATTCCGAAGGAGATTTAGAAAGTGGTGGACGAAATTAGTCACACATTTCCCACAGGAAAGCCATAGGTAATCTTGTGTTTCCTGTCGCCTCCCTTCCCGCTTTCATGTGGGATCGTCTTTTATTACTTTGCTCGGCTCACGTGTGCTTTTCTTTCCTTTAAAATCTATTTACTCGTTAACAATGCGGGGCATCGAACCCAGTGTGCGGGGCTGTGCTATGGTTAGCTCGGGCACGGATTTGGTCGGCTAGTTCTTTTGCTTACAGTGTTTTCGAGAACCCGTACAGGAAAGGAAACCGAGGCTTGCAAACTCTCAACGCTCTGTGATTCCGAAGCTCAGGGTGGATTTGCATGACTGGTGGATTATTATCCCACTCCCTCCTGGAACTCCTTAGGCTGTTTCAAGCGGTTACCGTGATATCATGGCAGTCTCGCTCTTCCTGCGTGGCCTTATATGGCTTCTTAAATGAGACGAAATTCCTTCTTGTGAGCCTAACTGAGCTGCAACCCCATCCCACGAGGGAATCGGTCTCCACGGCGAGAGTTTATGCAATGAGCTCTTGTTTCAAGGTGTGCTCCGATTGGCATTGTGTCAGCCTCCTTCCCTGACTCCCACACTCAATATTAGGAACTTCAGTTGCAATGAAGAACTTTGTCTGTGCTTGACAACAGGAAGTCACTCTGTCGGCCAGTCATTCATCATCACTATTTTTTATTATTATTATTATTTTAATACCGGCCTTAAATGATTTCGCTCCTTCCCACTGGATTTTGTTCAGAAGGCACCACACATCGTCAGAAAGACATTATGCATTTAACAACAATAATAATAAACAATAATTAATAATAATCGCATCTGATACGAGAACTATATCGCGAGATGTCTCAAAGCGCTTCACAGGATATACTGTAGCGTGGTGTGACAGTGTATATAGTATTTGATCTCAATGAACAGTTCACAGGCAATTACTGAAAGGTGTAGGGACCGTGGATTTGTAGGCAAAACGCAGCAGCTAATTTGAATGGAGTAATGTGCCTGACGCAAAACGACTGATCGATTTTAACCCGGAGGGTTGGGTTGTTGGTCAGGATACCGGGAAAAACACCAGGAGAAACTTGTGTGTTTGCATTTGCAGTCCAAGGCATTTGATGGTAAGTAAGTACCTGTGAAGCGCTTTGAGACGTCTCAACGACGTGATAAGTTGCTACTATCTCAAATGCAAGGATTATTATTATTATTATCATTCATA